CTGAGTCTTTCAGGTTTAATGAGCTTAGCCCAAAGAGCAGTGTTCCTAAACGGTGCACAGCAGCAAGAGCTCATGGCCATTCTGGTACAGAATTGAGGCCACGTTTTCACAGTAATAAACAGAAAAATATCGTATTTCTCTACCCCTTTTTAATTTGAGAGAATGCCAGTAGCTTTGTGTGAAAGGACTCATGCTCCAGAGAAAAAAAAACAGGTTTTTGTTTGTTTGTTTTCTGTTTTTTTACAAAGGGCAGAAAGTAAACATTTCATTTGACTGAGCCACCGACAGAGCAATCCACTCTGCATCTTCCAATCAGTTTTGTTGGAGCATGTAGTGAGTATTCCAAGTACATATTTACACTAAGTTCAGTTCAATGTGGATTCAAACAAACAGAAAGATCAAATATTTGGAAGTTCTTCTACAGATTACTTTTGTGATTAAGAGACAAAAGCAAAAGCAGCAGTCAGCAAACTTACAGACAGAAGGCTTTTTTTTTTTTTTTTTTGAAACGGAGTCTCTTACTCTCGCCCAGACTGGAGTGCAGTAGCGCCATCTTGGCTCACTGCGAGCTCCGCCTCCCAGGTTCACACCATTCTCCTGCCTCAGCCTCCCGAGTAGCTGGGACTACAGGCACCTGCCACCACTCCCGGCTAATTTTTTGTATTTTTAGTAGAGACGGGGTTTCACCGTGTTAGCCAGGATGGTCTCGATCTCCTGACCTTGTGATCCGCCCGCCTTAGCCTCCCAGAGTACTGGGATTAAAGGCGTGAGGCACCGCGCCCGGCTGACAGAAAGCTTTTCTAAAGCAACTTTTAGGGAATGTTGCAGAATCAACCCACATTCAATCCACTAACTCCATCAGACATTTACTGAGCACATGTTATGTACAAGACACCATCCTAGGCATTGATGGGGATAGAGTATAAAGAGAAATATGGCAGGATTGGAGTTAATTCGGCTGGGGGAGAAAATACTATGCAGGCAGTCATAAGCCATGCATTAGGTCTTGGTATGAAGTCAGAGAAAACTCCATTCAAACTGACTTAAACAAACTAAAAAATTATTCATGGTTGGGCATGGTGACTTATACCTGTAATCCTAGCATGTTGGGAGGCCGAGGCAGGAGGATTCCTTGAGGCCAGGAGTTTGAGACCAGCCTGGGAAACAGAGAGAGACCCTACCTCTACCAAAACAAAAAAAAAAAAAGGCTGGACATGGTGGCATGTGCCTGTAGTTCCAGCTATTTGGGAGGCTGATGTGGAAGGATTGCTTGAGGCCAGGAAGTTGAGGCTGCAGTGAGTTGTGATCGTACCACTGCACTCCATCCTGGGCAACATAGCAAGAACCTGCTTTAAAAAAAATTAATTCACTTATATTATGAAAAGTCTGGCTTCGGCCAGGTGCAGTGGCTCACACCTGTAATCTCAGCACTTTGGGAGGCCAAGGCGGGCTGATCATCCGAGGTTGGGAGTTCAAGACCAGCCTGACCAACATAGAGAAACCCTGTCTCTACTAAAAATACCAAAAAAATTAGCCGGGATGGCGCATGCCTGTAATACCAGCTACTCAGGAGGCTGAGGCAGAAGAATCTCTTGAACCTGTGAGGCAGAGGTTGCGGTGGGCTGAGATCGCGCCATTGCACTCCAGCCTGGACAACAAGAGCAAAATTCCATCTCAAAGAAATAGAGAAAGAGAGAAAGAAAGAAAGGAAAGTCTGGCTTTAAATGGGGGTTGATTAAAAGGCTCAAGTAATGTCACTGGGACCCCAAATCTCTTCACCTCTGGATCTGCTCTCCAAAGTATAGCCCTCACTCTGGTGGTTCCTACAGCCCTAGCTCTATGTATTCCCTGATTTCAGAATGTCAGAAAATAGAACTTCTCTTCCCCCATGTATGATGTAAGTCTTGGATAGGACTTGCAGTGGCCTGAATTTGATTGCAAGCTTATCCTTAAACTTATTACAGTGGTCAAAGGAATGTCATGTTCTAACTGGGCAAGTCTGAGTAACTTGCCTAGCCCTGGAGACAGAGGTGAGGTTAGCATTTATCAAAGCAATGGACCAAGGTTCAGATAATGGGTAATTCCTCAGAGAAAAAAGAAAAAAAGGCTGGGCACAGCGGCTTACACCTGTAATCCCAGAACTTTGGAAGGCCAAGGTGAGAGGATCACTTGAGCCCAGGAGTTCAAGACCAGCCTAGGCAACATAGTGAGACCCTACCTCTATGAAAAAACAAAAAGAAATCATAGAGAAGGAAATGGATTCAAAACCAAATATAAAAGAGGAATAAACATAATATAATGAGCAGACAAGGGTAGAGACATATTCTGGCTTTGCAGATCTAAGAAAGAACTACTGAAGTAGAACCAAAAGGAACCGAGTTCAAATTCCTTTCCATTCTGAGAATCTCTGATTCTGGGGATTGTCCTAAAACCCACAGCTATTATAAAGTACTGGCAGTGTGATCTAGTGGTTGAGTTCTTTCTAACTCTGATGTCAGACAAGTCTGGTTGTGAGACCCAGAGGTGACCTTTCATCTCCAAGTCTATTTGCTCATCTGTAAAATGGGGGTAATAATAGTCCCTTCCTCATAAGGCTTTACAAGGATTGAAAATGATGATGTTTATTAAAACAAATACATGTTGAGATTAGATCCCCAGGTCTTGAGATAGTGTATGTTTTTATGTCATCATCTCCAGTTTCCATTTTAGCCCACTGAAATTAGTCATACTAAAGGTATGAATGACCTCCTAATGGCTAACACCAATGGATAATTCTCAGTCTTTATTTGATTTGACCTATGTATACTAACACTCTTGATAACTCCCTCCTTAAAATTATTTAGTCTACTTTCTGACTGTTTTTTCTTTTTGGATTTTCTTTCCATCTATACTACTACCTTGCCTTCTCTGTACTCTTCTCTGGATCCTCTTCCCCTGTTTGCCCCTATGATGTTGGGTTCTCTAGGAGTCTATGCCTTGTCCTTGTTGTAGGCATCTGATTATAATCATGACTGCCCATTGTCTTTTGATTAACATTTCTATGTTAGGAGAAATTTTCTTTTTTTTCTTTTTCTTTTTTGAGATGGAGTCTCACTCACTCTGTTGCCCAGGCTGGAGTGCAATGGCGCAATCTCGGCTCACTGCAACCCCCGCCCCTCCAGGTTCAAGCAGTTCTCCTGCTCAGCCTCCCAAGTAGCTGGGATTACAGGCACCTGCCACAGCGCCCAGCTAATTTTTTGTATTTTTAGTAGAGACAGGGTTTCACCATCTTGGCCAGGCTGGTCTTGAACTCCTGAACTTGTGATCCATCTGCCTCAGCTTCCCAAAGTGCTGGGATTACAGGCATGAACCACTGCGCCTAGCCTAAAATTTTCATATTTAAGTGGCAAATTTCTCAATTTAGAAAAATTGAACTCAAATTCCCAGTCTCCCTTGCAACAAAGATGCAGGCACACAACTTTAGCACCATCCATCAGTGTAAACCATGCAAGTCTTAACTAGAAACTTCGTATTCTTTAGTTATCATCCCTCACTTTCCCCATCTTCCCAAACTCTAAGCAGCCACTAATCTCCTTTCTGTCTCTATAGATTTGCCTATTCTGTACATTTCATCTAAATGGAATAAAATATATGATCTTTGGTGCCTGGCTTCTTTCACTTAGCATAATGTTTTCAAGGTTTATCTCTATTGTGGTACATATCATACTTCCTTTTTATAACTGAATAATATTCCATTGTATGAATGTATCATATTTTGTTTGTCCATTCACCAGGTAAAGGACATTTGGATTGTTGCAGGTACTATTATTGCTACTCCTATTTTATTTTAGAAATATGAAAGTGAAGCTCAGGGAAGTAAGTTCACCAAGGTCAGACAGGTAGCAAAGCTGAGATGTACACAAACTTAGGTGTGTTTGATGCTATCTTTCTTTCTCTTAACCACTAAACCAATGCCTTGTACCATGCTATACAGCCTTGTAAGGCCAACACAAAAGAAGATGGGGCTGGCCGGGTGCGGTGGCTCACGCCTGTAATCCCAACACTTTGGGAGGCTGAGGTGGATGGATTACCTGAGGTCAGGAATTCGAGACCAGCCTGGCCAACATAGTGAAACCTCTCTATTAAAAATACAAAAAATTAGCCGGGCATGGCCAGGCACGGTGGCTCACGCCTGTAATCCTAGCACTTTGGGAGGCCGAGGCAGGTGGATCACAAGGTCAGGAGATCGAGACCATCCTGGCTGACATGGCGAAACCCCATCTCTACTAAAAATTAGCCGGGCGTGGTGGTGTGTGCCTGTAATTCCAGCTACTCGGGAGGTTGAGGCAGGAGAATTGCTTGAACCTGGGAAGGCAGAGGTTGCAGTGAGCTGACACTGTGCCACTGTACTCTAGCCTGGGCAACAGAGCAAGACTCCATCTCAAAAAAAAAAAAAAAATTGAAAACTACCTAAATACTTAACAATGAGGAAACAGTTAAAGTATGCTATATATAAACAATTATGCAGCTATTAAAATTGTTTACCCAAACAATGTAGAAATTTAGGGAAATATTTGTTATGTTTTTAAATTTTTAAAAAGCCACAATACAAATATACATTTTTTTACAAAAAGTATATAATCACAACTATTAAAGAGATAACATAGTAAAAGATTAAAGATAAATATATCAAATATACTAAACTATTAAGGAATTTTTTTCTTTCCACTGTTATTTGCCAAATTTTCAATAATGAGCATTGATGACTTTCATAATGGGAAAAAGTAAAATAAACTTTGCTCTTTGAAAAAAAAAATTAATGGGTTGTGTTACGTGTGTTAAGTTAACTGATCCCAAATTACTACCAACTCCCTGTGACACAGCCCATCTGACCCAGGGGAGTGGTGTGCATGTGTCTCTTTGAAGCTCCAGCCCCGGAGATAAGCCCTCAGTTGACCTGTGGGCCTGCTGATCAGCTAGCAATGTCAGATAAGGAATTTTAAACACAGAAGGAAACTTACAGGGCCACTGGCTGGTCTACATCAGGAGAGCTCAATCAGTCCAGTTTTTGTTTCCCCTGGTCAGTGGCCCTGAAAGAAAGCAAGATTACACTGTAGCTTTTGCACTGTATCCAGGCACAGGCTCCACCACTTAAAGAGCTGAGGAATGCATGGCTAGAGAGATAGGGGGAAACAACACCCATGGAGAAGCACACAGATAAGATCTCCAAACAGAGACTCTGGTTAACAGTTTCCAAGGTCTGAGGTGTAAATAAAACCCTCTAGGACACAGGGAATCACATGCAGGTAGGAAATTCCTGACTTGACCCATTGGAAAGGGTAGGGGCCTTCTGAATTTTTTCTCCTCTTCCTCATTCTTTCACTTGCCAATTATTTTTTGAGTACATAGAATAGCCAGATGTGGCTTCTTATAGGTTTTGCTTATAGACTAATACAAGGTACAACAGGCAGACAGACAATAAGGTCCAGGGTGCATGATACCATGACTGTGATATTAGGGATATCTTCAACTCTTGAGGAAGGCTTTTTGGAGGATGTTAACTCTAAAATAAAATCTTAGAAGAAAGGTTAGCTTGACAGTGGTGCGGCAGAGTAGAAGAGAAGTTTCTCCCAGGCATGGCTAAGACGTGTAGGCAAGAGAGAGAGAGACAGAATAAATTTGAAGAAGCTTCAGAAACTTGAAATGGAAGGCAGGAAGAGGGGAAGTGGTTTCTTCCAGATCCCCTTGATTGAGTTATGGAGAATGGAGAGAGGAAAATGAAGAAAAATGAATATTCTAAAGCTTTCCTCTTCTTCCTCTCAAAATTTTGCTCTTTTCCTTTGTCTTGATCATGCTGTTCTTAGCTCTCTTACCACCTGTGCTGCTGTTTCCAGGTTGCAGAGGAAATGAAGGTTCAGAGACAGCCCAAAGTTGAGGTCTGAGCTCCATATAGATGCTGCTGCCATCACACATAGATGAGACCGACCAGGCAGGCCAAAGGTGGCTAGCCATTCATGTTGCCCTTAAACACTGCAACTGCCATTATTTTCAGTTCTAAGGGGCCAATGGTGAGGGTTGGGGTTGTCATTTATTCATTTTGCATATGTTAAGTGCAGAGTGGGTATCCACAGATGTAATTCACAGCCTCATTGGGAAGATAACACATGAAATTATGTTATATGTTTACTTTGTATGAGACAATAGTGGAGTATGGAGTATAACAAACTTTTCTTGAGTCCTTATTGTGTGTTAGGTATATGTGAAGTACTGGGGAGAAAAATAATTTTTAAAAAACCTATTCTAGGCAGGGCATGGTGGCTCACACCTGTAATCCCAGCACTTTGGGAGGCCAAGGTGGGCAGATCACAAGGTCAGGAGTTCGAGACCAGCCTGGCCAACATGGTAAAACCCCGTCTCTACTAAAAATACAAAAAATTAGCTAGCCGTGGTGGTGCGTGCCTGTAGTCCTGGCTACTCGGGAGGCTGAGGCAGCAGAGTTGCTTGAATCCAGGAGGCAGAGGTTGCAGTAAGCCAAGATTGCCCCATTGCACTCCAGGCTGGGTGACAGAGCAAGACTCCATCTCAAAAAAAATAATAAAAATAAAAAATAAATAAATAAAAATAAAAAACTTTTCTAAAGTAGCTCAGGTTATTATAGCCTGTGTTTATATGTAAGGGAAAGAGAACCAAATGGGAAACTGAGGACTAAACTTTGATTTTTTAATCTTGCCCAAATTTTTATCTAAGGAGTCTGGGCAGTCATGCCCTAGAAATCCTAAATTCTCGTCAGATGGGTTTTATTTAACTCTATATATCATGACTTGCTTTCCAACCTGACTCTGGCCAAACATTATGAGACAAGGAAGAAAATAAATATATTTTACCCCAAAACATGTTTCTTTGCCATTATCTTGAATTGTCCCTGCAAAGCTGTCCTTTGTGGGGAAAATTTGCATCTGTAAGGAATCTCTATTAACATAACTAGATCTTTTTCTTCCAGGTCCTCCCAATCCCTTTTTTTTTTTTTTGAGATGGAGTCTCAGGCTGGAGTCCAGTGGTGCGATCTTGGCTCACTGCAAGCTCCGCCTCCTGGGTTCACGCCATTCTCCTGCCTCAGCCTCCTGAGTAGCTGGGACTACAGGTGCCCGCCACCACGCCCGGCTAATTTTTTTATATATTTAGTAGAGGCGGGGTTTCACCGTGTTAGCCAGGATGGTCTCCATCTCCTGACCTCGTGATCCGCCTGCCTTGGCCTCCCAAAGTGCTGGGATTACAGGCGTGAGCCACCGTGCCCGGCCATGTCCTCCCAGTCCTAAAGAGATTAACTAAAAGTCTAGCACCTTTTGAACATCTTAATAGGAAACATTTGTCATCTATTGTCTCTAAGGGCAGCCACTATAAGACTTCAAAAGAACCTTGGTCTCCACAATCTTTTATTTTTAACCTGAACATTTTCTTTCTATGATCCCAGGTCTTTAGGTAAACAACCAAATATCAACCAGAAAAGGTTTAAATTTACCTATAGCCTGGAAGCCCCCCCGCCACCAACCCGCTTTGAGTTGTCTCGCCTTTCTGAACCAAATCAATGTATTTCTTAAATGTATTTGATTGATGTCTCATGCCTTCCTAAAATGTGTAAAACCAGGTTGCTCCCCGACAACCCTGGGCACATGTTTTCAGGACCTTCTGAGGCCTGTGTCATGGGCCATGGTCACTCATATTTGGCTCAGAATGAATCTCTTCAAATATTTTACAGAGTTTGACTCCACAAAGCGAACATTGAAATGCAGTTTAAAAGTAAATAATTGTATTGTGAACCTATTTAGATAGATTCATTAGCTTTCTGTCCTTTTGTACAACTCATTGAAGGGCTGCATTGAATAATAGGTGGCTGTCTCACAGCTCCTTCACAGATGAGAAAGCTCACAAAACTATGATGTGATCAAAAGGACATGAAGTCAACTTTGAATCTAAACTTGAAATTAGGACTGCCCTCATTCAACTTGTGTCTTTGGGCAAGTTACATAACTTTTCTGATCCTCCTCATCTGAAACAGGTAACAACAGCTACATGTGGCAGATAATGTCAGTGACCTACTCAGTGACAATGTCCCCTTCTTTTTGCTATCAGAAGCTCTCCCAGTTTTGTTTGGGGGAGGGAAGTGCCTAATCTAGATGATGGCTCACAAGTGGTTTAAGGCAGAGGTCAGCAAATTTTCCTGAAAAGGGCCAGAGAGTAACTATTTTAAACTTTGCAGGCCATTCAGTTTCTGTCACAACTCTGCCATTGTAGTGTGAATACAACCGTAGACAATATGTAAATGCATGGGTATCGATATGGTGCAAGAAAACTTTATTTACAAAAACAGGCAGTGGTCCAGATTTGGTTATCGTTTGTCCATCCCTAATCTAACACAACCCTGACAATCCCATCCCTTACTTTCTCTGACTCCTTTGTAACTAAGGGTCTCTATGTGACACATTTGTTGTCAATAATACCTAAGTAGAAGTCTGATGATGGGGTTTCTGGGGTATGGCCTTATCCTTTTTCCTCAATTCTACCTTTTTTTTTTTTTTTAGACAGAGTCTTGTTCTGTCGCCTAGGCTGGAGTGCAGTGATGTGATCACAGCTCACTGCAACCTCCGCCTCCTGGGTACAAGCAATTCTTGTGCCTCAGGCAATTCTCGTGCCTCAGCCTCCCGAGTACCTGGAATTACAGATGTACACCACCACTCCTGGCTAATTTTTTTTTTTTTTGAGACACAGTCTCGCTCTGTTGGCCAGGTTGGAATGCAGTAGCATGGTCTCAGCTCACTTCAACCTTTGCCTCCCGAGTTCAAGCAATTCTCCTGCCTCAGCCTCCCAAGTAGCTGGGACTACAAGTGCCCACCACCACGCCCAGCTAATTTTTGTATTTATAGTAGAGACATGATTTCACTATGTTGGCCAGGCTAATCTCGAACTCCTGACCTCATGATCCGCCCATCTTGGCCTCCCAAAGTGCTGGGATTACAGGCATGAGCCACCAAGCCCAGTCACACCTGGCTAATTTTTTTTTTTTTGAGACAGAGTCTCGCTCTGTCGCCTAAGCTGGAGCGCAGTGGCGCGATCTCGGCTCACTGCAAGCTCCACCTCCCGGGTTCAAGCCATTCTCCTGCCTCGGCCTCCTGAGTAGCTGGGACTACAGGCGTGTGCCACCTTGCCCGGCTAATTTTTTTGTATTTGTAGTAGAGATGGGGTTTCACCATGTGAGCCAGGATGGTCTTTGGGAGGCGGGCCTCCCAGAGTGCTGGGATTACAGGTGTGAGCCACGGCGCCCAGCATACCTGGCTAATTTTTTTGTTTGTTTGTTTGTTTTTGAGACAGAGCCTTGCTCTGTCACCAGGCTGGAGTGCAGTGGCACAATCTCAGCTCACTGCACCTCTGCCTCCTGGGTTCAAGTCATTCTCCTGCCTCAGCCTCCCAAGTAGCTGGGATTACAGGCGCCCACCACCACGCCCAGCTAATTTTTGTATTTTTAGTAGAGATGAGGTTTCACCATGTTGGCCAGGCTGGTCTCAAACTCCTGGCCTCATGTGATCCACCTGCCTAGGCCTCCCGAAGTGCTGGTATTACAAGCGTGAGCCACCACGCCCAGCCTCTCTCAATTCTACCTCTAATGTGGATGTAATATCTGGAGCTACTGTAGCCATCTTGCAATTATGAGACATGAACAAAGCCAAATGTTAACTTGCTAAGGATAGTTATGCAGATAGAGGTAGGTTTTTCAATGTAATCACTGAGAAGCTGCATCAATATCAGCACCACCTAGTGGTGGATACTGGTGGACTACTAATCCCATAAATTGCAATCCACTGTAGTCAGATTTTCTGCATTTTCCAGCCAGATCTATCACCAGAGAATTTTAATATGTCATAGGCTTATTGTGAATATTGACTGAAGTTAATATACAAATCATGTGGCATATAGCAGATGCTCAATAAATGATGGTTCTTTTCACATCTTGTTTCATGTAAAATTGGTATCATTCCCATTATGATAAGTATTAACATTTTACACAAGCTCCTTTTAAAAATAAGTCCCCCAGCAGGGCCAGGCACGGTGGCTGATACCTGTAATCCCAGCACTTTGGAAGGCCAAGGTGGGCGGATCACAAGGTCAAGAGATTGAGACCATCCTGGCCAACATGGTAAAACCCCATCTCTGCTAAAACTACAAGAATTAGCTGGGTGTGGTGGTGCCTGTAGTCCCAGCTACTGGGGAGGCTGAGGCATGAGAACTGCTTGAACCCAGGAGGTGAAGGGTGCAGTGAGGCAAGATTGCGCCATTGCACTCCAGCCTGGCAACAGAGTGAGACTTCATCTAAAAAGAAAAAAAAAAGAGTCCCTCAGCTGGAATATTTTTTAAAGGTTATCTCTAGTTTCATTCTCATTTTATTTATTTATTTATTTATTTAGAGTCAGAGTGTCACACTGTGGCCCAGCTAGAGTGCAGTGGCGTGATCTCGGTTCACTGCAACCTCCGCCTCCCAGGTTCAGGGGATTCTCCTGCCTCAGCCTCCCAAGTAGCACATGCCACCACGCCTGGCTAATTATTATTTTTTTTTCTGAGACAGAGTCTTGCTCTGTTGCCCAGGCTGGAGTGCAGTGGCCTGATCTCGGCTCACTGCAAACTTCACCTCCTGCGTTCAAGTGATTCTCCTGCCTCAGCCTCCCAAGTAGCTGGGATTACAGACCTATACCACCATGCCTGGCTAATTTTTGTATTTTTAGTAGAGACGGAGTTTCACCATGTTGGCCAGGCTGGTCTCGAACTCCTGACCTTGTTATCTGCCTGCCTCAACCTCCCAAAGTATTGGGATTACAGGCGTGAGCCACCACATCTGGCCTAATTTTAAGTTTCTAAGTAAGACCTCAGAAAGACTAGGAAAGGGAAGGACTAGAAATAATTCTAGTTTAGCAAAAGCCCGAGTATGAAAAGATCAGAGGTGATCGTCAAGCAAATTGGAGATAACACACTCTCTCTAGTAACTACTAATGAAAGTCTCCTTCTGCATTCCCTTTCTGGGTTGCTTGCCAAGGTTTCTCACTCCTGCCTAAGACTGACTTCAGGCGTGAAGATAAATGTATTTATGTATATGTATTTACTAATGCAAAAAAGGATTAAATCAACTAGTGTCAAATTACCACATTTCATCACATATAGGCTATAATTATGGCAAGTCTAAACTAATCTTTTTTTTCCTGCTTCCCACAATAATCTAGCTTTGTCTACTTCCCTACTATTTATATGCTAATATATACTTCTATACTAATGCATATGACAACATATACATTATAAACTGAATTTTTGAAGGGGTATTTTCAAGATCATATTATAGAAATAACCATTTGGGGCCACTTTAATCAGCCTCAGTATGATTTAAGCTACCTATTGCAAAAAAAAATTATATTGTGTGTCTGGAAAATGTTTTTAAAATTCACCTAATGTTTGAACTATCGATTCATTAGTTCTCTAAGGAGAATATTTTCTCTTCATGTAAATTGGTGGATGGACAGATAGATGGGCCATTAGAAATAGGAAAGGATAATATGAACAACAAGCAGCAGTGATTGGCTGTCTCTTTGTCTTGGCCTGGCTTTGTGAGAATTATTCAAATTCTCTGTTGCAACTATTCAGATCTGCTGCTATAATGTGAAAGCAGCCACAAATGATATGAAAAGAAATGCACATGGTTGTGTTTCAGTAAAATCTACTTTAAAAAATCAGGTGGTACTCCAGATTTACCTCATGGTCATAGTTTTCCCGTCGTTTCACTGGACTATACCCACTGGGATACAGTCTGGGAGGGCCTCCTGGAATGACAACCATTCTGCTACCAGCCTGAGGATGGAGAAAGATAGGTACAGATAAAGAGCTGGTTCCTTCATAGAAGCTTCTAATCCTGATGCATCTAGAACTCACCCTCACGGCGTGCTTCTTATCTTGGGAGATAAGAGATTTCCTCTTCATTTACGTCTCAGTGGGCTTTTCTTTTACTTGTAGCCAAGGGCATCCTTGCTGCCATACGTCCCTAAGCAGATATTCTCACTTGTCTATTTCCTCACTTGCTTGCAGTGGAATGGTAAATGTACTAAAGGCTGGTAGCAGTAGGATAAAAAAGGAAGAAAAGAAATGCCTCCTTACTGCAGACTTCCTGGAGCAAAGATTCATTTGAATTTAGTAAACTTTAAAATCCTTCTAGAATTTCGACGCTGTGGAACACTCTGAACTATCACCGATCAGCTACAGTAGTGTTTAAAGAGGTTTGAAGATGATTTGGAAAGATGTGGATATTTTATTGCACCTTGCCATGATTATTTATTTAAAAAACAAGAGAAAAACTGTCCTCAACCATGTTTAGTTTCTATTATATTTCTTTGGCAGTCCTAGGCTATGATTGTTCCTATTTTTGTTTTATGAATGTGATAACCTCTCAAATGCCTCCTAGTATGCCTATTAGATCGTGTTCCCTTGGTTAGTGCACTAACTTCCCTGAGCCATTCATCTGTACTTTCATTTGTCTCTTATTGCTTCATGTGTAAAAATTTTATCTCTACCAATTTAGAAACTCTTTTACAGCAGGAAACATTTCACAGATCTCACAGAATTGGGCACTTAACAGATCCAACATACACATTATTAACTAAATTATTATTATTATTTTTTGAGACGGAGTCTTGCTGTGTCGCCCAGGCTGGAGTGCAGTGGCCTGATCTCAGCTCACTGCAAGCTCCACCTCCTGGGTTCACGCCATTCTCCTGCCTCAGCCTCCTGAGTAGCTGGGACTACAGGCACCCGCCACCACGCCCGGCTATTTTATTTATTTATTTATTTATTTATTTATTTATTTATTTATTTATTGTATTTTTAGTAGAGATGGGGTTTCACTGTGTTAGCCAGGATGGTCTCGACCTCCTGACCTCGTGATCTGCCCTCCTCAGCCTCGCAAAGTGCTGGGATTACAGGCTTGAGCCACCACGGCTGGCCCTTTTTTTGGTTTTTTTTGTTTTGGTTTTTTTTTTTTTTTGAGACGGAGTCTTGCTCTGTCACCCAGGCTGGAGTGCAGTGGCGTGATCTCAGCTCACTGCAACCTCTACCTCCCAGGCTCAAGAAATTCTCCTGCCTCAGCCTCCCGGGGAACTGGGATTACAGGCACATGCCACCATGCCTGGCTAATTTTTATATTTGTAGTAGAGATAGGGTTTCACCATGTTAGCCAGGCTGGTCTCAAACTCTTGACCTCAAGTGATCCGCCCACCTTGGCCTCCCGAAGTGTTGGGATTACAGGCATGAGCCACCACACCTGGCCTTACCTGAATTTTTGAAGGGGTATTTTCATGAACATATTATAGAAATAACAATTTGGGGCCATTTTAATCAGCCTCAGTCTGATTTCAGCTACGTATTGCAAAAAAATTATATTATTTGTGTCTGGAAAACGTTTTAAAAATTAACCTAATGTTTGAACTATTGATTCATTAGTTCTCTATGGAGAATATTTTCTCTACATTGAAACTTGTACAGTATGAATCTGTGCCATGGAAACCCATTCTAGCATGCAGTTGTTACAATCAATAAACCACAACATATACAGATTTACTTACTTTCTTTTTTTGAAATACACAAAACATTCATTGTTATGTATAAATATCAGAGATTGGCCTGTAAGTTTGAGGCAGTTTTCAAACACGGTTGGGCAAAATACATAAAAGTAGTAGGAAAGGCTGGGTGCAATGGCTTACACCTGTAATCCCTGAACCTTGGGAGGCCGAAGCGGGTCAATCACTTGAGGTCAGGAGTTTGAGACCAGCCTGGCCAACATGGTGAAACCCTGTCTCTACTAAAAACACAAAAATTAGCTGGGCATGATGGTGCACACCTGTAATCCCAGCTATTTGGGAGGCTGAGGCAGGAGAACTGCTTGAATCCGGGAGGTGGAGGTTGCGGTGTGCCAAGATCGTGCCACTGCACTCCAGCCTGGGCAACAAGCTGAGACTCAGTCTCAAAAAAAAAAAAAAAAAAAAAAAATAGTAGAGAAGTCGACAAAACCAGATTATTGTGGGAAGCAGGAAAAAAAGATTAGTCCAGTTTAGACTTGCCTTAATTATAGCCTATATGTGATGAAATGTGGTAATTTGACACTAGTTGATTTAATGGTATAATCCTTTTTTGCACTACTAAATCACCACAAATTGCCTTTTATATGAATTATGTTACAAGAAGTATAATTCTATTTGAGAGATTGCTTAAACAAAGGGGGTGGAATTTTAAAGGTAGGCTTTCAAAAGCAGAGATTTTCTTTTCCTCTTAAAAACTGGAGCCGGGCGCGGTGGCTCATGCCTGTAATCCTAGCACTTTGGGAGGCCGAGACGGGCAGATCACGAGCTCAGGAGATCGAGACCATCCTGGCTAACACGGTAAAACCCCGTCTCTACTAAAAAATACAAAAAAAAATTAGCCAGGTGAGGTGGCGGGCGCCTGTAGTCCCAGCTACTCTGGAGGCTGAGGCAGGAGAATGGCGTAAACCCGGGAGGCAGAGCTTATAGTGAGCTGAGATCTGGCCACTGCACTCCAGCCTGGGCGACAGAGCGAGACTCCGTCTCAAAAAAAAAAAACAAAACAAAAAAAAACAAAACTGGAATTCCTACAGACTCTAAGCATCTTTTTAGAAAAAAATATAGGTGTATTTTTCTAGTAACTAAAAATTATGCATAAACCCAAAAGTCCAAAGATAATCACTGCACACATTTTGGAGCAGTTCCTTCTAGTTTTTTGTTCTCTCTCTCTGTTTCATGGAAAAAGATATATTTATTTTCGTATCTATGGTTAGATCATATGGTACATCATAAACATTTTTCCAGATCATTAAGAATTTTTTGTTAAGTTTTGTGCATTATCTTTCATTTTAGTCATTTTCCAGTATATTATATCCTCCCTCTCCATTTTAGTTTAAAAGATAAACTCATGGTATGTAAAAACATTTTTCAAGTAAAAATCATTCATAATCCTATTATTCTAGTATACCTATTTCCATTTTTCCTACTCTTTCCCTTGCAGAGCTAATGCCATTACATGACAAATATGCCTCAATTTAACCACGGAACCCTTTCTTCAGAGAGCATCTTATGATGGTGGTTCATGAAATGTTGACCCTAGATCAGCAGGAGCAGCAGCAGCATCACTTAGGAATTTGTTCAAATTCAAATTCTCAGGCTCCTACTGAATCCAGAAACCAAAGAGGGAGGAGAGACAGCAATGTGTGTGTGTGTGTGTGTGTGTGTGTGTATGTGTATGTGTGTGCGTGTACAAGCCCTGAAGCAATTCTGATGCACATTGAAGTTTGAGAACTATTGTCTTTTGGAATCAACAATTTGCAGATCATTCTTTGGGAAGCAGTTTGCAAAATGCCTGACCAGTCTCTATATTTCCTGGAAGGTTTTAGATAAAAATTGCTGGTTGCCTCTATTACCTCAAGGGTAGAATAAGGATATATTAGCTACCTTCCAAGATAATGATTAAATACAATAATTAGTAAAAGTGTTTGTAAACTATAAGTAGTGAAGTGGTATATAGATACAGTTATTATAATGGTGACCCTGAGTCTAAGCTGACAGATTTATATTACTAAGCTCTGGGGAAAGCCAAGTGGAATGTGGACACAGATGGTTCTTAACTTTCACATAGTCAACTTTTATACAACCCGATTTTCACACATTACACATGCCACCCCTAAAATGCCTTTCCCACACCAAATCTGGAATTTCATCTACTTGCAGTTTAATGAGCAATTTGAGGTATCCCATGGCTGCACCACCTGCCAGCCCACAGCTCTACTTTGGCAGGGCCACATCTTTTTCTGTTCAGCAGTTTTTGTGCATATTTTATTGCATCTTACCATGATTATTTATAAAGAAAACAGGAGAGAAACTGTCCTCAGTCATGTTTAGTTTCTATTACATTTCTTTGGCAGTCTTAGGCTATGATTGTTCCCATTTTTATGAATGTGATAGCCTCTCAAATATCTCCTAGTACACAAATTAGTATTTCTTGCAAGTTCTCTGCTCTCTGAGATATCTCTGCTTCCTCTGGTCAGTTTGTTCTTCTTTCTCCTTCTTAATCTTGATGTCTGTCTGGTGATCGCTAGTTGTCTGTTTGGATTTTAGATATCTGGCACAGGCTTCCTCTGCAGCTACTCAGACTTGTTTTTCCCAACAGGTCTCTCCCCTAAAAGAAAGGAGGGCTGTGGCTGCATGTAAGTGGATGGGGCTTGATCAAAAGATGTCACTTTAGGGAGCATGGGCATGGGGCAGACAAGCAGGCTGAAGACCTTTTGCCTTCCCTACCTCATTACTAGAATAAGTAGGGTTTTACTTTGGCATGGGAAGACTTCAGTACATTTTTTTCCTAAGCAAAGATGACATAGTTTTTATTTCTCCTGGGTCTATTTTGGAAGTGTGTATTTGTCTTTCTCAGCTCTCTATCCCCATACAACATTATCCCTCCCAAATAGGAAGTTAACATTATATGGAGGGGTAGTCTCTTGGGGTTTTAACCCAGGGTCCAGAGCTGCTGCTGCTGGCTACTCAGTGGTGGTGGTAATGGGGGATCCAGGACATCACTGGCTTTGCTGTTCCAGATGCAGGTCTGTAATTAATTATCCTGACACTTGTCTCAGGACCCCCTCCTGTTTTTGACTTGTAGTCACCCTGACTGTGAGCTATCGATCTCTCTAGAACAGTAGTTCTCTAAGTATAGTGCCTGAACTAGCAGCATCAGCAGCACCTCGGAACTTGTTAAAAAGGCAAATTATCAGAATAATGCTGACAAACATTTGGTTGTTTCTAGATTTTTGACTATTATAAGTAACGCTTCTGTGAACATTCTTACACAGATGTTTTTATGAACGTTATCTTTTCATTTCATAAATTCCTAAAGGTAGAATTGCAGGACAAACTCAATCTAATCCAATCCCAAAATTCTACATAATTATGATCCACTGATGTTACAGTGTTATGAATTTCTATGAATTTATTGTTTTTATGGTTGCCAGATAAAATATAACATGTCCAAAATAGTACATTTGGGGCATACTTATACTAAACAATTGTCTGTTGTTGATCTGAAATTCGAATTTAACTGTGTCCAGTGTTGTTTTAATTTTTGCTAAGTCTGTCAACCCTAAATATTTTAAAAATTTTCATTTACGTTAATTTAAGGGCTTTGGAGGGTGGGAAAAGCAAGATTGACTCGCATGATTATTTCATCATCTTGATCCAAGAAAGAAATCTGGCAAAGGCTGATAAGCCATCTCAGTTAGCATCATAATTTATTGATCAGTCCACTCATTCCCCTGCAAAATACCTTGCCCAAGCCAGTGAAAAATCACCATCAGGAAGTCCTCCTTCCTAACACTAATGTCTTATGTCAACAAAATGTCACATAAATTGGTTAACAGCCAGAATTTGAGGTAAGAAATTACTTTAGGTAAGTTATTTTATTGTCTGTATTCAATGTTTGTCTTTTGAACATTTTTAATACTCACATACATATTGTATAAGACTCGGGTTTCCATTTTTAATTCA